TTTTTTTATTAATTTATATATAAAATAAAAAAATTAACTTTATTTTTAATATTAATGCTATATAAATTATTTTTATTAATTTATATATAAAATAAAAAAATTAACTTTATTTTTAATATTAATGCTATATAAATTATTTTAATTAAGTAATTCATAAAATTAAAATTGATATTTATTTTTTTTTGTAAATACACCCTTAATCAGTGAAAGTTTAGAAATTCTCTTTATTTATTTATTTTTTTGGTATTTACTATTCATGTACATTTTTGTTGTTTTACCTTTTTTGCCTTTACGATGTACTAACTTTTAAAGCTTCACAATTAAATATTAAAATAACGTTTAATGCATAAGATATCTAATCAACAACTAAATTAGAATCTGGGAATATTCTTTTTTGAGAAGAAAAGTAAAAAAAAAAAGGATTAAGAAATCACTAAATGTGACAGATTCTCGTTCGGTGGCCCAAAAAAAGAGATAGATTCTCTTCCTGTCTTTCATAAGGCCAGCCACTACTAATGAGCCCACAAATTCTAACCGAGCTGGGCCCAATATTGATAATCGAACCCAAAATACGTCGGCCCAAAATTTTATGAACACAAACACAATTATTATTAACCCTGACCGTACGTGATGCAAATCGAAGGCCCAAGAAACCCAAACTTTGAAGGTGCAGGGTAATATCGTACGCATATAAATACACAATCTTCTCCATCCCCCGAAATTTCCCATCCAACTGAACAAAACCTCTGGCGGGAACGCAGCACCCTAAATCCCGCCAATTAAAACCCTAATTCAAAACAATTTCCTTTCTATAAATTCCCATTTCTTCTTCTCCCTCTTCCTCTCGAGAAAACGCTAATCTTGATTTGAAACAAACTCTGAAGATGCTGGAACTGAGGTTGGTACAGGGGTCGCTGCTGAAGAAGGTGCTAGATGCGATCAAGGAGCTGGTCAAGGATGCCAACTTTGATTGCTCGTCGACGGGGTTCTCGCTGCAGGCGATGGACTCGAGCCACGTCGCACTGGTGGCTCTGCTTCTGAGATCGGAGGGGTTCGAGCACTATCGCTGCGATAGGAACATCTCTATGGGGATGAATCTTGACAATATGTCCAAGATGTTCAAGTGTGCCGGAAATGATGATATCGTCACCCTCAAGGCCGACGACGGCAGCGATACTATCACCTTCATGTTTGAGAGCCCTAGTAAGTCTTTCATTTCCATTTCATTTCTTTTTTCTTTCGGATTGATGATTTTGTTCGAAGTAGTGTTTTCTGCTGTTTAGGGTTCTTGACTGGGGATGTTAGCTTAGTATTGTTGAGGATAATGACTTCGCTTTACTTTATTCTTTGTTTCTCAATGTTTACTTCTTTTGCGTATTATTGAATTTATTGTGGAAATCTGATATCTATTTGATTGCGGGGAAAATGATGCCAAATTGAAGCTTCTTTCTAAAAGAATGTGACTAATCTGTACTAACATTGAAAGGGGTACTTCTAATGTGAATTAGAATGTTACAGATTAGCTTATCGAAGTAGTTTTTCTGCTAATTGAGTTTCTTGATTTGGGATTTTAGTGTGGTGTTGTTGGCGAGGATGGCCTTACCTTAATTCTTTGTTATTTAATTCAATGTTACAGATTAGCTTATTGAAGTAGTTTTTCTGCTAATTGAGTTTCTTGATTTGGGATTTTAGTGTGGTATTGTTGGCGAGGATGGGTTTACCTTAATTCTTTGTTATTTAATTCAATGTTTGACTTCTTCTTTAATTTCTTTTGCAAAATTTATTATCTGTTTGGTTGCTGGGAAAGTAAATTAAAAGGCAAAACTCTATGACTATTAAATTTTACTTACCAGTGGAAATAATACATGCCTTACTGTTTTGTTGGAAGTAGGAAAGTCTAATATGAATTAGAATGTTAGAATTAGTTGCTTGAAGACTGTTGGTGGGAACTCTTTAAAAGAATCCTTTTTCTGTTAATGTTAGGTTGAAACTGACACTTGCTTTTCTTGTTTGTTTTTGTTCTTTACCACTTGGTGATGGATTAAAGCACAAGACAAGATCTCAGATTTTGAGATGAAACTGATGGATATTGATAGTGAGCATCTTGGGATTCCAGAAGCTGACTTTCATGCGATTGTTAGGATGCCATCAGCTGAGTTTGCTAGAATTTGTAGAGATCTTGCTAGTATTGGTGACACCGGTAATGTTAAATGTTGCTTCCATTAGTAGTTTTTTAAGAACAATTCTGTTTCTTCCATTTTCCCCCCTTTCTTTTTACATCAATCTTCATTTGTGCTTCTGCAAATGTTAACCTTGGTTTTGTTATGTGGCTGCAGTTATCATCTCCGTGACAAAGGAAGGTGTGAAGTTTTCCACCAGAGGGGATATTGGAACCGCAAATATTGTCCTCAGACAAAATACCACTGTAGACAAAGTATGTTTTTGTACCCCTAATGTCTGTTTCACAGTAAATTCCGTTCAATTTACTTAGTGATGGTTTTTTTTTTACACATGGTTATGTTCTGTCTGAATTGCAATTTGTCTGTGTTATTTTAATTCATTTGTGTGTGCGCATTTGCAGCCAGAAGATTCAACAATTATAGAGATGCATGAGCCAGTCTCTTTGACATTTGCATTGAGGTACATGAACTCCTTTGCAAAGGCAACTCCACTGTCAAATCAAGTTACAATCAGCCTGTCTTCAGACATGCCTGTTGTGGTTGAGTACAAGATTGCAGAGATGGGTCATCTCAGGTTCTACTTGGCTCCGAAGATTGAAGAGGATGAGGATGAGACTAAACCTGAAACATAACTTGATCCTATAATTCTCCTTGTTTAATGGAATCTATGTTCAGTTTTCCTAATCACCAATGTTCCCCGGAGTTTGTACTTGAGACTTGCACTTCTAGCCAAGAATTTGGTAGTTAGGTTAGAGGAATTATTGAATCATACATGGGCTTGGATTTTGTACATTGTGAATCTATGATAAACAATGCCTTATCCTGTCCTTAATTTTTTTTCTTTTTTTTATTTACAAGTGCGAATTTAAATAGCTATATTGTCAACTCTTTGTTCTTGAAGAAGCAGCTTGACTGTGGGGACCCTCCATGCTAATTTCCTTAAGAAGACAGGATTGCTTTCTGTAACTTGATATGATAGGTTTTTGATTCCAGAGAGAATTGGATTGGCACTTCTTAATGGGAAAGGATGTTGGTTCTAGCTTTTCAAAAGTGGCATTTGATCCCTTTACTTGCGGAGTCGGAAATTGAATGATTCGATACCATACCCAGATCCAGCTATGCCTGGCTACCAAACGTAATCTAATATGCTTGGGTTCCATTATTATAGTGGCAAGAAAACAAGGAATGGAGAAGATTTTAATCCCCTGGTGCTTATATTAGCAAAGAAGAAAAGAAAAGAATGCCTCTGATGGATTTTTTTGTCTCACTTACGCCTCTGGTGTCTGGTGTAAAAAAACTGAAGGGGAACAAATGCTGTTGTTGTAAACCAGCAACTCTTGTTGAAAGCTGTCCTTTTGCTAATCAACAAACTTCTGTGTTTCAGTTTCTCTCTACATCAATCAATATTATCTCTGAAAATGTCGGATGCCCTTGTTTCCGCTATCTTGCAGCAGCTAACAACAATCATTTATGAAGAAGCAAAACAAGAGGTGAAACTGGTGACTGGTGTGGGGAAAGAAATCAAGAGGCTCGAAAACAATCTCGAGTCCATCCAAGCTTTGCTTGATGATGCTGAGGAAAGGCAGATGAAGGAGAAAAACATCACGATTTGGTTAGGAAGACTCAAAGAAGTATGTTATGACATGGAGGACGTGTTGGATGAGTGGAACACTGCGCTCTTGAAGTTGCAAGTAGGTGAAGCAGATCAGAAAAACTTCTCTCTTTTCAAAGGAAAGGTATGTCGTCCCTTCTTCTCATGTTTTCGTTGTGGTCAAGTTGTTCAACGCCATGACATTGCTCTTAAAATAAAGGACATCAATGAAAGATTAGATGAGATTGCTAAGGGTAAAGATAGGTATCAATTGACTGCAAGGGATGTTAGACAGCCTATAAGAGCAGAAAGTACATCTTTTACTGAGGTGTCAAAGTTGCAAGGTCGAGATGAGGTTAAGAAAAACTTAATAGACAGTTTGTTGTGTGGTAACAGTGATGAAATAGAGAGTGATGTGAAAATGATCTCGATTGTAGGCATGGGAGGGATTGGGAAAACAGCTCTTGCTCAACTTGTATATAATGATGAGGCAGTTGTGGCCCATTTTGATAAGAAAATATGGGTTTGCGTCTCGGAAGTCTTTGATCGGAGCAGAATTGCGAAAGCAATTATTATGGGTCTTGCAGAGCCTGATCATGCTTCAGCTCGAAATCTTGATTCGCTTACATTGCAAATTCTTCTGGAAAGAATTCGCGAAAATATTAAGGGGAAGAAGGTTCTTCTTGTTCTGGATGATGTGTGGACCGATGACAGTGAATCTTGGGAATCATTTAATCAAGCTTTCAAACCTGCTGCACCTGGAAGTAGGGTTTTGGTGACTACACGAAAGGATACAGTTGTGAAGACCATGAAATCCTCCCCTGATGTCTTTCCTCTAGAGCAATTGAGTGAAGATGTATGTTGGAAAATACTTTGCCAGGAAGCGTTTGTGGGAAGGGGTGATGAGCAATGTAAAAATTTAGAGGGCATCGGAAAAAATATTGCAAAAAAATGTAGTGGATTGCCATTGGCTGCAAAAACTCTCGGAAGCATGCTGCGTTCCAAGAAAACAAGAGAAGAGTGGACAAATATCTTGAACAGTGAGATGTGGGAATTAGATTTGGAAGCTGTTTTTGCTCCTCTGTTGTTGAGTTATTTTGATTTACCCTCGGCTGTAAGACGGTGCTTTTTGTATTGCTCTACCTTTCGTAAAGGTGTTGAGATCGAAAGAGATGACCTGATTTATCAGTGGATGGCACAAGGTTATTTAAATTCTAGTCAGAATCGTGGGTTGGAAATTACTGGGGTTGAGTACTTTGAGTGCTTGGCGGCACGGTCTTTCTTTCAAGATCTTGAAACACATGAAGATGGTAGCATAAGGGCATGTAAGATTCATGACATAGTACTTGACTTTGCTCGTTTCCTTATGGGAAATGAATTTGTGGTGAAAGAGGTTCATCCTCATGACGAAAATAGTGGAATAGAGCTTTTTCCAGAGAAAACTCACCATCTGTTGTTAGTACTGGCGGAAAATGCATGCTTTCCTACTCCACTTGTTGGTGCAGAAAAATTGCGGAGCTTATCCATCTTCAAGAGTGATTATTCAGAAGAAGATGAAACCAGTAATGATCATTCAGAAGAAGATGAAACCGGTAATGATCATTCAGAAGAAGATGAAACCGGTAATGATCATTCAAAAGAAGATGAAACCCGTAATGATCATGCAGAAGAAGATGAAATCGGTAACTTACTTATTCAATTAAAACATCTGCGTTCATTGATTTTCTGTGGTGGTAATATTAATGGATTTCCTGAAGAAGTAGGAAAATTGATGCATCTGAAACTGCTTGATTTGTCTGATAGTAAGTTAAAAAGATTGCCTGAAGCAATATGCGGATTACTTAATTTGCAATCCTTGTTTCTACGATGTTGTTATTCTCTGGAGGCCTTGCCGGATAAGATAGAGAAATTGGTCAACTTAAGGCATCTTGACACATGTGGTTCCGGTTGTTCAACTTATTATCCCAAGGGAATTGGGAGATTAACTTCTCTTAGAACGTTGCTGGGGATTGTGGTTAGCTGTGATCACAATGATGATAAAAAATTCAGCTTGGGAGATTTGGAGAACTTGTGCCAACTTCGTTCTCTAGCATTGGTAGTTCGAGCTCCTCAGATTGATGCTAATGAAGCCAGACGTGCGAAGTTGCGAAGTAAGATACATCTCAAGCATATAGAGTTAGCAGGTCCATGGTCCTCCGACGAAACGAAAACAGATAATGTTAGCAAAGTCTTGAACGCACCTTCGCAAACAAACGTGATAACTGATTGGGAGCGTCCGGAATTTTTTCGTCATGTCGGGGCACATGCTCTAGCAATCCGTAAGCACTCAATCTATTGTTTCTTGTATTAATTTGAGGGGAAATGAAAGGCTGGTTTTCCTCTCCAAATCACACTTACTAATGTTTGGATTTATGTTGCAGGTGAAGCATATCTCTTTAGGATAGGCAGAGACCAGAGAGGGAGGTTCTTCTGGTGATGAGGGAGGCACTTCTGTCGGTGAAGCCGTCTAAAATATTGTGTGTTTTTTCCTTTTTTTCCTTCCTAAACAAAGAAGAAGTCTTGTGTGTTCTACGACTGCTGGTCAAATTATCCTCATTGTATGTATTTTCCATGTCTCTTTGGTGGATTAGTGAACAATTCAAAACGTATAATCTTGTCATTGATACTTTATGATCAAATTCTTCTAATTTCTTCCTTTGAAAAACCTGTTGTTGATAAATAAAACATATATGACAAACATGTTCTGCTTTTGTTTCCATCACTGTACAAATGCGTTTCTACTTTCTACAATTTAGAAAGTCCTATAAAAATCTTCAGGCTTAACCCCCTCTCCGCCCCTCCAACTTGTTATTGTTGAGGGTTTTAGCCCTCCAACATATAATATATCTATTTCAGCCCTTAAATTAGAAGTTACCAGGACAGTTGGCCAAAAATTAACAGAAGTGAGTCACGTGCGTCACGTGCCCATCCACCTTTCGTTAACGTTTCTCTAGTCAGCCCATTGGTAAAGTTTTTGGTGTTGAAATTATATGAATGCGCTCCAACACCTCCTTCTTCGAGTTCTCCCTTCTCTCTTCTTCGAGTTTGATATTCTTGTCATCTTCCTTCCTCTCCTTCTCCAGTGCTTCCATGCAGAGGCGAAACACATAGATCTGGGTTCCCTAAGCGCAAAGTGATGACTCAAATATCTGGGTTTTCACACAATGACAACTTTTGGGTTATTGTTGCACGATAGTGAGGGATTCTCTAACCATTGTAGCTGGGTTATTGTGTGATTCGAGATTAAAAAAAGAGCCTAGACAATGGAAATCAAAAAGGGTAAAAGGATTAAGAGTTAGGGATTTATGGATTTTTATTCTGTCTCTAGTTCTCTCTCTTCTCTCTCTCAAGAGTCCGTTTCTCATCCTCTTTCTTCTCTTCTTGATCACCTTCGCCTCCTTATCTTTTTTATTTTGTGCTGATTCTTGAATTGAGTTAAATTAGATTTTGAGGATTAAGGGTTTGGATTTTTTTTTTTTCGATTTCTGTGATTTTGAATAGTAATTTTTTGGAGATAATTTTTGTTTAATTTCAAGCGTAAAAGTGATCTAACATTGTAAAAGGGAATCTTGCCATTACCAATTTTATAGGTTCTCACCGTTGATAAGATCCGCCGAAGAACTAAAGTCGACATCGAAGAAGAAGACTAGTACTTATTAATTGGAGATAATTCTCTTTTGTTTAAGTTTAGCTATAGTTAAATGTATTTACCTGTACTTACTCATAAATGAATTTAATGATATATTGAATGTTATATTTTTCTATTAATCATGATTCATGACAAGCTGAAAAGGGGTTGGTTCTAAACGAGAAAAGAAAATGATTGAGAAACAGGAAGCAGAGCAATTGCATTGTAAACTCATTGGAATTTGAATGCACTACTCTAGCATACAGATTGTTTGATGTGAAGATGTCAAAGGCTTTATGGGTATAACAAAATAATGGATTTCAGAAACCACTCCTAGACAAAGCAGAAAGGCAAAACTAATGTCAATGCTATTGTAAAAATTAATATATAGATGTTACCAAATCAGTCTGGTCTTTGGAATGCTCTCTTGGTGGCACGTTTGAAGTTGCATAAAACAAAATCGAGAAAAAAAGCAAATAAAGTGTGATTTGAAAAGAAAACCTGGTTGTATTTTGCCAGCCGCTACCCTCTATAAGGAGCACCAGCCTTGATCTGATTTGCATCAGGGCCGACAGCCAAATCGCCTTTAAAGGAATCTTCAATTTCACCCCACCTATGTGATGTCACCACTCCCTAGTGAGCATGCTTTGCTAGTTTCACCACTTCAATAGCCTCTGTCACATTTTCATTTTTATTTTTTGAACAAATTCGTAAGGGACGGATTCAAACCGTTGTCAGTGGAGGAATGCATTTATATGTGACCTGACGTTATTGGGTCCAAAAATCCAAGTGCGTCACATTTCTAATTTGATTTATTTGTTTTAAAACAATATATAATTATTAGACAAATTTTTAAATAATAAATCTGAAGATTATAAACTTTCAATTTTCAAACATAATACATTTTCACATAAAAACATTCATTTCTTACTCCAACACCTAATTATATTGCTGACTTTTTAAAACAGAGGTAATATTATAGTCACTCGAAAATCTTAACGATAACATAGAAGAACATATATTTGAATTAAAAAAATTCTGGTTATTGGAATTGATACCAAAGACTCGGACCTTTGTAGTTGAGGAACCAATTTGAATCAAAAAATTTAGTCACCATGAGAATAAAAGAATTGCAAGTAGATTCCCGTATTACTTTTTCAATTCTTTTAAATTATAAATTTATCAATTTCTATTTTTTTAAATAATTGATTATATAAGTAATATTTAAAAATATCTGTTTATAAATTAATTTTAATTTA